TGCACAATGCAAACAACAACTAGCATACACAATGCAAATGACAACTATTATACACAATGCAAATGGACATGGCATACACAAATGCAATGAACCAACATGCAAACAACAATGCTCAATGGACTTAAACCAAAATGGACAGGCCTCAGCCATGTCCAAATTAGTGGCCATAATACCAAAACAAAGGCACCAAAAGACAAGGCATGCATGCACAATGCATTGGCCAATCAAGTAAGCCTAAGAGCACAACCCTCCGCCTTTTGAAAGGAGTGACAAATGCAGATTGGGCACACCTTTTGAGGGTGCGACTTTTTTAAGGGTCCGACAAGACTCTGTAAACTGTCTCGACATTGATTCCGGTTAGCTCCTTTATGGGTCTGACAAGACTCTGTAAACTGTCCCGACATTGATTCCGGTTAGCTCCTTCATGGGTCCGACAAGACTTTGTAAACTGTCCCGACATTGATTCCGGTTAGCTCCTTTATGGGTCTGACAAGACTCTGTAAACTGTCCCGACATTGATTCCGGTTAGCTCCTTTATGGGTCCGACATGACCCCATAAACTGTCTTCTACAACGGTCCGCCATGACCCCATAAACTGTCTTCTACAAAGGGTCCGACATGACCCCATAAACTGTCTTCTACAACGGTCCGCCATGACCCCATAAACTGTCTTCTACAAAGGGTCCGACATGACCCCATAAACTGTCTTCTACAACGGTCCGCCATGACCCCATAAACTGTCTTCTACAAAGGGTCCGACATGACCCCATAAACTGTCTTCTACAACGGTCCGCCATGACCCCATAAACTGTCTTCTACAACGGTCCGCCATGACCCCATAAACTGTCTTCTACAACGGTCCGCCATGACCCCATAAACTGTCTTCTACAACGGTCCGCCATGACCCCATAAACTGTCTTCTACAACGGTCCGCCATGACCCCATAAACTGTCTTCTACAACGGTCCGCCATGACCCCATAAACTGTCTTCTACAACGGTCCGACATGACCCCATAAACTGTCTTCTACAACGGTCCGACATGACCCCATAAACTGTCTTCTACATCGGTCTGACACCCCCATACAGTGTCTCTTATCTTTTTTTATTTTTATGTATTTTCTTGTTTTGTTCCTCTCTCCAAACTCAAGTTGGTTAGTTTCTCTCCTCCTTGAGTTTGCGGGGGGCTGTTAAAATTTACCTACACCTACCACCACCTACTACCACACCTACTACACCTACCACCAATTTACCCTCACCTACTCCTCACCTACTACCCAAATCCTCTTCTATATAATAGGAATCCTTGTAATATCAATAACACAACAATCAGATATCAATTAATAATACATCATTTCTAACAACATCAAGTATTGGTTACGCTTAGGAAGTATTGGATACATATCTGCGAGTATCGGTATCTAGTACGGATATGTTATAAATACGACTTCCTTTTAGAAATATATGTGCTTCATAGCTTATAACATCTGTTACCTATGGCCTTTTCATCTTCATCTTCAATAGCTTATAGCATTTGTTACCTATGACCTTTTGATCTGGTTGGTATAAGTTTCAGCCGTTGAGTTGACCTCTGAAATTTTCCATGTTAAGTCTATTAAGAGATGCTATGAAGCACCGACACGTCCCCAGGGCCCGCGTACGAGTGTCGGACACGTGGTGGACACGTGTACGACACTCTCAATATGTGTCCTCTATTTTTTTTTTGAATTTTTCTATTCAGACACGCCATGGACACACTGTGACACTTTCCAGACACGCATGAGGTGGGTCGAAGCCCTAACTGTTGGAGAGGAGATAGAGCAAGAGAGAGAGACAGAAAGAGAAAGAGAAAGAGATCGAAGGAGGAGAGGAGACAGAGAAAGAGAAATACAAATAGAGAAAGAGATCGAGGGAGGAGAGAAGACAGATTGAGGGAGAAGAGGAGACAGAGAAAGAGAAAGAGATCGAGGGAGGAGAGGAGCCCTAACCTAGTCGAAAGCCCTAATTGTTGAGAGGTATTCTTCGTCTGCTCTTTTCTTCTTGTTCTTCTCCTCCTCTTCATCTTCTTCTCATTTTTCTCCTTCTTCTCCTCCTCTTCCTTTTTCTTCGTCTTCTCCTGTTCTCTCTCTCTCTCTCTGATTTCACTCTCCCCTCTTTTATTTCTTTCTCCCTTTTTGTTGATTTACCCGTTTCTCTCTCTTTCACTCTCTCTTATTTTATTTTATTTTTTATTTCTCTCTCCTCCTTTATTTTCTCCCTCTCCGACACTCGTACGCGGGCCCTAGGGATGTGTCAGTGCTTCATAGCATCTCCTAATAGACTTAACACGGACATGCGTCAGACACGGACACGCGGTGGACACGTGTCCGACACTCCCTCTAACGTGTCCTCTATTTTTTTTGAATTTTTCTAGTCAGACACTCTATGGACACACTGTGACACTTTCGAGACACGCATGAGGTGGGTCGAAGCCCTAATTGTTGGAGAGGAGACAATGCAAGAGAGAAAGAGAGAGAGAAAGAGATCGAAGAAGGTGAGGAGACAGAGAAAGAGAAAGAGATCGAGGGAGGAGAGGAGCCTTAACCTGGTTGAAAGCCCTAACTGCTGAGGTATTCTTCGTCTGCTCTTTTCTTCTTCTTTACCTCCTCCTCCTCCTCTTCGTCTTCTATCTCCTTCGTCTTCTTCTCCTTTTTCTCCTTCTTCTCCTCTTCCTCCCTTTTCTTCGTCTTCTCCTGTTCTCTCTCTTTCTCTCTCTCTGATTTCACTCTCCCCTCTTTTATTTCTTTCCCCCTTTTGTTGATTCACCCGTTTCTCTCTCTCTCTCTCTCTCACTCTCTCTTTTTTTATTTTTTATTTCTCTCTTTTTTTTTTATCCTTATTTTTGTTAAACTTAAAATTCATAAAATAAATTATTTTTATTTAAAAAAAACTCATTTTTTTATTAAAAAAATTTTAAAATATGTTTATTAATTTTATTATTATTGTAATTGTATAAAAATCAATGATTTTCTTTTTATTTTAGACATATAATAAATAAATAAAATTATATAAATGTATCCCTAGCGTGTCGTGTCTCTCATTTTTTCAAAATTTGCGTGTCCCCGTGTCCATGTCGTGTCCTGTGTCCGTGTCTATGTCCGTGTCTGTGTCTGTGCATCATAGATGAGATGTCTAGTTATCTCCAAGTTATTATTTTTATTTTTTATTTTTTTTTGTCAAATGAGATTATCAAAACACACTATGTTGCCTTTGATAGTATTGTCTATTGCATAATGTGTTAACCTAAAATGATCTACAATTAGGATCTTTGATTGTGGATGTTATTCCCTAGAAGGCATGGTTGATTGCAATATATAAATGTTAAATTTCTTTTAATGATTTGAATTTATTCATCATCTTACTATTTTCCTTTTGTAAATCTTATACTTGCCTTTTCTTTATAAAGATAGTTATTCTTTGTTTTGTTTTGTTTTTATTTTTTGAGAAAAGATTCTCCCATTTTTGCGGGTATGCATTCTCATCTACACATTATCTACTATACCAAATATTTTGATGCATTTCGCTTTAAATTTTTTTAGGTACGTTTTTTTTGACAAATAAAGATGTAAGTATTATTAAGAAAGCATTAAGACGATGCAAAGAACACGATGAGTACAATCAATGAAGAAATAAAGAGACTATGAAATCCAAAAAAGAAAATAAATCTGGATCCACAGTCCCCAAAACCCAACTATGCAAAACAACCAACAACTTGTTCTTTAAACGAGGAACTGAAGAAGCTAAACCTTCGAATGTCCAATGATTCCGCTCCAGCCACACCAACCACATATGACACAAATGTGCCAAAATCCAAGCCCACTGACGCCACTTCCCTACCCTACCCCCTCTCCAACTACCCAACATCTCCTTCACTATCCCTTGCTACACCCAAACCATATCAAACACACCAAAAATCAGCCCCCATAGCTGAAACGTCACTGGACAATGAAGAAGAAGATGCAACATCGATTTTGCATCATGACAACACACACAACACCAATTAACCAGCACATCCCCCTATCGAACTAAATTATCCAAAGTCAAAATCCGATCATACGCAGCCAACTAAGCAAAAAATACCACTTTAGATGGCACCTAAAAACCCAAACCTCTTTCCAAGGGATAGAAACATCCCTCGCTCTCTCTTGCACCCAAAAGAAAGATGATACACCGCAACCCATCCACACCCACCCTAACATAGGGCTGCAAATGAATCGAGGTGTTCATGAACAAGCTCGACTTAGGTCGGTTCGTTTAGTAAATGAGCCGAGCTCGAACTCAAATATTAGACTCGTTTAGTAAACAAGCCGAGCTCGAGCTCGAGCTTGCATAAGCTCGGCTCGTCAAGCTCAACTGGTTTATTTTTATTTCAATTATATAATAAATATATTATTTATATATTAAATAATATGTAAATATATATAAATAATAATATAAATACATTATTTATATATTAAATAATATCTTTTATTTAAATATTTTTATTTAATTAATATAAATAATATTAAAAAAAATATATTGAGTTGAGCTGAGCTGAGCTTGAGTCAAGTTCCTTATTGAGCCGAGCTTGAGTTCAATAATCGCGCTCAATAAATGAGCTCGATAAGTAAACGAGCCAAGCTCGAGCTCAGCAAAGCTCAGCTCGGCTCGGTTTGGTTCGATTCGGTTCGGTTCATTTGCAGCCCTACCCTAACACTTGTCAAACTATACAACTCTATCAAAAAGTCCAACAACTGATCAATCTCCCAATCAAACATTGACCTACAAAGCTTCAAATCCTACACCTTCCTTCCGTTCGAGATAGACAAGTAGGAAGCAACCGCTGCATCCTGACACTCCACAATCTGTAACACCAATAGAAACTGGCAAGCCAAACTCTGCTTGCCACACCACCCATCCATTCAAAACCTTACTTGGTCACCATATCCAATAACAAAACTAACCTAGCTCCAAAACTCCCCCCCCCCTCCAAAACTCATTCAAATCTAACCTAATACCTTCCCACAAACCCCGTACATGAGTGCTCCTTACATCCTTAGAACACCAACCCCCCCACCCAATGCTATATTTAGCCACCATCAATCTCCGCCATAAATGATCCACTTCCTTTACAAAATGCCACAATCACTTTCCCAACAAAGCCTTATTAAAAATCACTAAACTTCGAATCCCCAACCCTCCCTCCTTCTTAGACTTGCACACCATCTTCCACTTCACTAAATGATACTTAAAACCCTCACCCATCCCACCCCAAAGAAAATCCCACTGCAACTTCTCCAATCGATGAGCCACCAAAACAACGATGACATGTACTGATATAAATTAAGTCGGAATACTCCCTAACGTACTCTTAACCAATGTCAATCTCCCACCTTTGGACAAATATCGACTCTTCCACCCAGCTAAACGCTGCTGAACACGCTCCACCACCCCATCCCACACTGAAACTTCATTAAAAGTCGAACCCAAAGGCAACCCCAAGTAAGACACGGGCAAAGCGGCCACTTTACAACCCAAAATAGCTGCTAAACCATTAACATCCTCAACCTCCCCCACTAGGATCAACTCTAACTTAGCCAAATTCACCTTCAAATTGGAAACCGCCTCAAAACGCAGCAAAACACACCGGAGATAATGAATCTGACCTGTCTCAGCTCCACAAAAAATAAGAGCATCATCTGCATATAACAAATGAGACACCACTACAGGATCGCTAGCTTCCACACCCACATCAAAACCTTCCAACAAACCACCCTGCACGGCTCTAGACACCAACCTGCTAAAAGCCTCCATCACTAAAATAAACAGCAAAGGTGACCAGGGATTACCCTGCCATGAACCACGACAAGTATGAAAGAACCTTGCTGGAGTCCCATTAACCAACACCAACATCCGAACCATAGATATACAAAAACGCACCCACCGAATACATCTGTAGTTCAAGATGGGTAGGTTGTTTTGATGGAGAGCCTGGCTTGTAGAGAGAAGCAATGATTATGCTGAGCTTGCTTTGCTGTTTAATTTAGTTGATGATGATGCTGCCTCAGCTGCTTTTTATTCTGAGCAATAATGCTCATTTCTTTATTCTTTAAGTTACTGGGTTGGAAGATGAAAATGGATCTAAATGTGTACTGTTACTGCTGCAGGTCCACAACACGTTTCGTGATCTTGAAGAATCAAATATTCTTCGTCCATATATGAGCGATGCCATAAAGGAGATATCTAGAGCATGCAAAGCTTTTGAAGCAAAGGAATCAGCTCCTCCAGTTGCTGGTATCTAGATTTCACTCATGATGTGATTTATTGTCTTGTTGAATTGTTCTGACTTTGGCTACTGTGACAAACAGTTGCAGCACTGAGGACGCTTCAGTCTGAGATTACAAAGATTTACGTACTAAGGCTTTGTTCATGGATGCGGGCTGCAATAGAAGAGATATCTAAAGATGAATCATGGGTTCCGGTTTCAATCCTTGAAAGGAACAAGTCTCCATACAGAATCTCTTCCTTGCCTTTGGCATTCCGTTCAATAATGGCTTCAGCGATGGACCAAATCAATTTGTAAGTCTCCAGAACCTGGTAAACAACGACACATTAAAAAAAATGATCATTGGATCATTTTTCTCTAATAAGAAAAAAGAAAATCAAAACATGTGCAAAGTTCATTTGGTTGGACATTTTGTGCCATGCTTGTGAACGTTCATTACCTATCTCTTGGCCATTGGGTATGTAGTGATGACAACACAATTGCCACACATGCATTTAGGGATGTAAATGAGCGGGGCTGGGAGCTCTTTTATCCTCTATGCTGGGTTTGAGCTCAACCTAAATTCAAGATACTGTGATTCAGCTCAGCTCAGCCTAAATTCAACATACTGGGTTTGAGCTCACACACACACACACACACCCGAGTTATTATTCCAGTTTCTGAGTCTCTGATTGCACATGTATGATTAAAAAAGCAGCAGAGAACTGGTAGATTATTAGGGGCTATTACATGAACTTCGGTATGGATATCAAGTGTAGGTATGTGTCTAAGCATCGAATTCTTCTAATTCTTATGTCCAAGGACACTAGGGCATAACTAAATAATCATAATTCTTAATATTCTTCATCCAATTTTTGGGGTAAAATGTTTTTTGCAAAGTAAAAGAGAGCATTTTTTCACATGGTAAGGGGATTTGTGTATTATTTATGGACTATTGTAAACTCAATTAGTAGGCATGCTTACTGGATGATGAATTAGACAGGTTGGACATACCTTTACCCAAGTGTCTAGTCCAGTGTCTGACACATGTACTTCACACATTAGAAGATTCCTTGCTTTGGAGATTAGGGGGTTATGTCCTTAAAAGAAGTAGAAAATATACATGTAGCAAGAAACTGTTGCTTCTTATAAGAAAATAAATAAAGTACTGTTCTTATTTAGATCAAATTTGACATTGGAAGACTGTTATTTTTGTTGGAATTTGAGTGCTTCCTTCAAGGATGGCAATGGGTTGGGGTTGACTATGGTAGCACATGCTCAACCCAAACTCAATTTGTTTAACAAATAGGTCATGATTTAAACCATTGACCTTATAGGCCAAGAGATACCCTGTTGCTTTGTCAACCTTGATGTCTAGAAGTCTTCTTGTTGTCTTTATGACCTTTAAAAGTTGCAAAAATGAAAAAGAAAAAGAAAAAGGGAATTAAACTTAAGAATAGTCCCCTAAAAATAACATAAATTCTAGCCTGTTTATTCCCATTATTTTTTGTCATTTTAGCAAACTTGAACAAAAAAATGAATATTAAAAAAAAAAAGATTACTCAGTAAATATTGGTATACTAAGACTACTATGTTATTTCTAAGTTACTATATTATTAATCCGCAATGATATTATTACGTAAATAAAACATTTTAAAGTAATTTGTCAGTGATAAGAAAATAATAAAAAGGTTTAATGCTATGAGACTCATCAAGCCTTTCATGGAAGGCATATATTATGGCCCTGTTTGGTAAAGCTTTTTTTAAGCTAAAATCTGTTAATTAGAAAGTAAAAGCTAAAAGCACTCATTCCCCAACTTCTAAATAATCAGCTCTTTCTAGCTTATTTAATCTATTTCTGTTTAATAAGTTATAAGCAGAAGTTGTATTAAACAGTCTAGCACAGACTTTCAAATTAAAATAAGCTATAATCACTTCTTAGAATTCATACCAAACAGCCCCAATGACTTTTGAGTCTAGAGGAGGCCAAACTGAACCCAACCAATCTATTTTAAATGGGACAAAAATTTCTGCAAACTCTTTGTAATGGTGGTTGGTTCGGAACAGGTCAAAACTGTGACGCTAAATTATTCATTCGTAAATTATTATTTTAATATCTAGTCTTGATAACAGCTTAAACTTTGTGACTTCTGGTTCCTTTTAAACAGTTTATGCACTACTCAAATTTGTTTATTTGGATGCACAAATCCAGTTTCCTTAAGTACTGTCCCAAAGTTTGTGCTTTCCAGGATGATTCAGTCTTTAAGGAGTGAGGCTACAAAGTCAGAAGATACATTTGTGCAGCTTCAAGAAATTCAGGAATCTGTTAGACTTGCTTTTTTGAACTGTTTGCTGGATTTTGCTGGTATGATGGATGGGCTACTGCCTCAGCTCTGTTTTCCGTAGTATTTTTCAGAATCAAATGCTGATCCAAATTGTGACTTGCATTTGTTGCACATTAATCAGGTCATCTGGAGCATATTGGAAGTGACCTTTCCCAAAATAGTTCAAACAAAGATAGTCCCCATTCACAAAATGGATATTCGCATGAATTACAAGAAAATTTGTCTGACCCTCTTCCTGGAAGTGTCATTGATCCACATCAACAAGTTTTGATGGTTTTGAGTAACATTGGATATTGCAAAGATGAACTTTCTCGTGAATTGTACTACAAGTATAGACATGTCTGGTCACAATCCAGGTACGATCTCAGCACTTTGGTTCTTCTTTCTTGGAGAGGAAACATATTAATTTGTTGTATCAATAAGTTGGTAGCAATTTGGGACATTTGAAAAAATATGGGAGAATAAAAGGATAATTGCAGTATGAATGAAACTTAAAAATTAATTAAAAAAACATAATAAAAGTACAATTTTTCCCTCTCCTCACTCTTACTCCTCCATTTCCACCTTCTCCAACCACCTCCTCGGAGGCGGTGGCACCCACTCCGCAACCTTGCCAACCACCACCATTCTCCCCCATCCTCTCTCAACGTCCAAGCAGTCCCCCGTAGATTGGATCAGATCGGATTGAGAATCGTAAGATTCTACTTTCTAGTAACAATAATGTAAAACTGCAAATAAAGATGATGCATACAAAAAATTAGGTGAAAAATCATAAATTCAACGATCTTCCTTACAATCCTACCTATGATCCTACACGATCCTGTTATGATTCTACACGATCCTACTTGTTGCAATCTTGCTATAGCATGCATTTGGGATTGTTTTGGCAATTTAGGATTGTAGGATTATATGATTTTGAGGTCCTCGCCTCCCTCCATCTCCTTATTCTTCACTCTCTCTCTCTCTCTCTCTCTCTCTCTCTCTCTCTCTCATTCTCATATATATATGCGGCGCCCTCACCAGCTCCCTCTATCCACCTTCAACCTCTCCTACTTGTTGCGATCTTGCTATAACATGTATTTGGATCGTTTTGGCAATTTAGGATAGTAGGATCATACAATTTTGATAATTATGGCCTTGCCTCTCTGCATTTTCTTATTCTTCACTCTCTTTCTCTCTCATATGTATATATATGTATATGTAGCGCCACCCTCACCAGCCCCTCATCCCCCTCCTCCACCCTCCACCAACCCCCTTTGTCCACGTTCAACCTCCTTCCCCGTCGGCACACCTAGACCTCCCTCGCATCAACCCCCTCATATTTGGATCAAGTATGAATCCCCCAAATCAAAACCCTAAAAAATATATATATATATTGTAGAAATTTAATGTATAAAGAGAAATAGAGAATTGTATAGATATTGATTGTATTATTGATTGATTTCAATTTGTATACAATGACTCTCCTATATATAGAAGAGAAAAAACATATTCACCTACCACACTCAACTCTCACCTAACACACTCAACTCTACCAACCACACTTATAGCCCCCCTCAAACTCAAGGGGGATAGGAACTAACCAACTTGAGTTTGGAGAGAGTAACAAAACAAGAAAATACATAAAAATAAAAGAGGATAGGAGACACTGTATGGTCGTGTCAGACCATTGGTGAAGACACTGGATGGTGGTGTCATAACGTTGTAGAGGACACTGTATGGTGGTGTCAGACCGATGTAGAAGACAGTTTATGGGGTCATGTCGGACCGTTGTAGAAGACAAACAATCTTTTTAATCAAGAGTCTTGCTGGACCCCTGTAGAAACTAACCGGAATCAATGTAC